CAATGATAATTTGAAAATAGATGTATCTCAGTTTGAGAAGTTACAAAATCTCAAAGTAACTAAACGCATCATTTTAGCAGCATGTGGTATGCTGTTTGATCCCTTAGGAATTATGAATCCATTTACTGTTCGAATTAAACTCTTAATGCAAACTATGTGGGAAAAGGGTATTCAATGGGACGAAAGTGTTCCCCTTGATACAGAATTCATATTTCAGGAATGGTTAAAAGAAGTTGAAAAAATAAAGTTTTTCGAAATTCCCAGACAGTACTTCAGTGATATGTGTTGGAAGTTATAGAAGTTCACATATTTTCTGATGCCAGTCCCAAGTGTTATGGTGCCGTAGCATATTTTAGATTTAAGAAGAAAAATAAATGTAAAACAAGTTTCATAATGTCGAAATCCGTTTGGCTCCATTAAAAAGGGTAACACTCCCTAGGCTTGAACTTTTGGGAACATTAATTTCTGCAAGATTAGGTTCGTATTTGCAATCGATATTTCCGCAGTTGGATAAGGGAAATATATTTTACTGGACTGATTCCCAAATTTGCATTCACTGGATCAAGGGATCTGCCAACGAGTGGAAACAATTTGTTAGAAATCGTGTGTTGTAGAAATCAAGGAGAAAACAATTTTAAACAACTGGTACTTTTGCAGTGGGAAGACAAACCCTGCTGATAAACTTACGAGGGGATGGATGCTGAAGCTCTAATTAATGATAGTGATTGGTTTTCTGGGCCACCCTGGCTTTCAGAAGTAGATATTCGACATCACATAAACGAAATGAATACCGAAGCTGACTTGCAAAACGTTAGTGAAGAACGTAAATGTGTTACTTTGAAAACACTTGTGGAATCTACAGAAAACCGTTACTAAATCTTGAAACTGTACGGAAATTTAAACCAAAGTACTGGGAATAATGGCTTATGTTTGCTAAAGCGCTTCGTGAAAAACAACTGTAAATCCGCTCGTAGAAAAGCAATCTGGTATGCTTACCGCCTATGAGTTACGGAAGGCTTCAGAATTTCAAAGGTGGTTAGCAAATGAAAACATAAGGTGGATACTCAACCCGCCAGCTGCTCCACATCATGGTGGTATATGGGAGGCAGCTGTTAGATCTATGAAGCTGCATCTAAAGAAATGTGTTGGAACTCAAATTTTGACTTATGAAGAGTTTCTAACTCTAATTGCACAAATTGAAGCATGCTTAAATTCGAGGCCAATAACACCTGGTCTCCAGTGATCCCAATGATTTGACAGCTTTGACTCCTGGACACTTTATTATAGGGACTTCTTTAACAGCTGTTCCGGAACAAGATACAAGTTAACCGAAGTACGAGTGTCTCCATTGCAAAGATGGCAACTAACACAGCAGATGTTCCAAGGGTTTTGGAAGCGGTGGTCTAAAGAGTACCTGTGCCAACTACAGCAGCGTAGCAAATGGAGACAGCCTAGCAGAAATATTCGTCTAAATGACTTGGTTCTCATTAAAGAAGATAATATGCCTTTCATTACGTTGGAAACTCGGGCGAGTAATAGAAGTGTTTCCTGGAAGAGAAGAGACAATAATGTCCGAGTGGTTAGACTAAAAACTGTGCACGGGGACATTAAACGTCCTATTACCAAACTGTGTCTTTTACCAGTTGAAGAACATTAACTTAAGTGTTTGGTTTATATTGAATATGTTTTATTTTTTTTATTTCTTATTGTACTAATAATTTTATTTGTTTGTTCTAGTTTAACCCTCATAGTTAACGTTTCAATATAGTAAGATATATAAGATGTTTTGCTAGAAGATTGGTAAGTGTAACATGTAATTTTATACTTTTTGAAGGATTTTTGTATGTTTTCAGTTTCTATATTTTTCATTTACTTGTTTGCATATATTGAAGATTGTATTAAGATGAATGTAATTCATCGGGGGGGGGGAGGATGTTTTGGCCTCCTCGGTGATTGCGGTGATTTGTGCCCAGAGGGCGCACCGCACAAAAAGTTAGTTGCGTTACAGAACGTAAGGGAAGCGGACACGCCAAAATGTCGGGCGTATTACCGCTAATTGAGGTAATTGCATCGTATCTGTCAGGTGGCAGAAAACTAATATGATGTATCAATTCACATGCCAGGTGGCAGAATATGTCTATCATGTACATGCCAGGAGGCATAACGCTTGTAAACATGCCAGGTGGCATACGACTTGTAAATAAATTGTAAATAAATGTACAGTAAAATATCTTAGTGCAATAGATCAAGGAACAAGCATCAACAACCTTCTGATCATTTGGATACGTACAGACAGTAATACTGGAAATTTGCAGACAGTCTAGAAGCGAACTGAACATGTGACTCTTTAGGATCGCGTCGTGCTCTTCGGAAATTCATTAAACATTCATAAGCAGTTGGCTGATATTCTTTTAATACTAGTTTTTTAATGGTTTCATAACATTTTAGTTCTTCATCATTAGTGTAAAATAATATATTAGGTACCTTATCCCCTAAAATGTTAATCAAAATTTCGGATTTGAGCTCCTGTGGTACATTTTTAGTTATGAAAATGCTCTCTCTAATGTTTGAAAAAACAAATTGAAGTTTTCCGATCTTCCTCGGAACAGGAATAGTTAATGTTTTAACACTCTTTATCAAATTTTCCAAATAATTTTCCCGAACCTGTAATCATGTCTTTATCTGCGCGAGATCCATCTTTAACTGTATTCTGACTTCTAACTTTTTCTAATTCTAATTCTTTCTCTAGCTGTGCTAATTTAAATTTTTCAAGTTCAACCTTTTGAGCTTCTAAGTCTAACTGTGTATCCCTAGCTTTTATTTCATTTTCTTCTCTAAGTTTTCTTTCCTCAACTATTGAGTTTAATAATCCAATTACAAATTCTGGATCATCTTTAAATATTTTACTGTCCTCAATTTTACCTTTTAGTTGAACCACTGTTAAACCAACAGTTTGTGTATCTTCAATTTCACCAAGAAGGTTTACTAAGTCTTCTTTCTTAGGATTCTTATACATTTTAATTTATATATATCTTACACATGTATATATATATCTTCAATACATCTATACTTTGAGTAAATAAAATCAAAAGCTTCCTACCTGCTTCTCTTGAAGTTTCTCTACCGTCATCTAAAGCTCTGGTTCTCGAAAGAGAGCGTGTGATATCATCCCTTCTTCATTCACCGCCTCATAGAGAAATAAGTGCACCTTCTTGTATTTTAAACATTTATTTTACAAACACAAACTAATACTAAACTACACTACTAATAACTGAAATATATAAAGTAATAAAAGTGAATTTCGGTTTCATTAATGGCTCCCACGAGCCTTCCGTATGACCTCTTTGTCGGTCTCCCTCTTGGAAACTAAACTTTTGGCGCCTCTCCAGACTGAGAGTTAGCGCCCTCTATACATCTTGTTGGTTGGCGTCACCCATACATCACAGTCCCTGTTTGGCCATGTATTGATCTTCAGATCTATATTATAAACTCCCTAGGCAGCCTCACGGGGCCCCAGGGAGTTGTTATTCCTAGATAGGGGAGGGCGTGGGACACACGCCTGTTTACCTATGTTAAACACCAGGCGTCCCCGTCCTCCGTCTCCTGTCACCTGAGTCAAACTTGCCCAACCCGGGGATCGAACCCCGACCTGTGATGCTGCTACGCGACGCGCTAGCCATTGCGCCAACGGGCCTCAAACAAATGTGACACCTGCCTAATACACTGCAGGGCTCCTGGGAGCATGCAAAAATGTCGAAAACGATGTGGCATGAACTTAACTAATGTCTAAACGTGTGCTGGAGGTAATTCCCACCATGAATCCTGAGGGAAATACACAAATCCATAGGAGTGCGAGGTGGTGGCTATCTCGTCTGAGCAGCACGTTGTAAGACATCACAGAAATGCTCAGTGTTAATGTCTGGGAATGTTGGTAGTCAATAGACGTGTGTCCGAAGAGTGCTCATGGAGTCACTCGGTAGCAATTCTCGACGTGTGCGGTGTCGCACTGGCCTGCTGGAAATGTTTAAGTCCGTCCGAATGCACAATAGACATGAATGGGTACAAGTGATCGAACAGGTTGTTTAGGTATTTGTCACCTGACAGAGTCGTATCTAAACGTAACAGGGGTCCCATATCGCGCCAACTGCACACTTCTCATGCCATAACAGAAACTGCTCCAGCTGCAACAGTCCGCTGTTTATATGTAAGGTCCATGGATTCATAAGGTTGTCTCGAACGTACTCGTCCATTCTCCCGATACAATTGGAAACGAAACTCGTCAGACCAGGCAACGTGTTTCCAGTCATCAACAGTTCAATGGCGGAGTTGGAGGCTCCTGCGAGTTGTATAACTTTGTGTCGTGCAGTCAACAACAGTACACGAGTGGGCCTTCCTTTCCGAAAGCCCACGTCAATGATGATCCGATGAACATTTCGCATGCTGGCATTTGTTTATGCTCCAACACTGAAATCTGTAGCAATTTGAGGAAGAGTTGCGCGTCTGCCACGTTCAATGATTCTCGTCAATCGTTGTTGGTTCCGTTCTTTTACGAGCTCCTCGCGGCCACAGCGATGTTGACGATTTGATGTTTTACCGGATTCCCGATATTCACGGTGCACTCGTGAAATAGTACGCGAAAATCCGAATTTTATCGCCATACTCGGAGATGCTATGTTACATCTCTCGTGCGCCGACCAGATCAAATGCACTTAAATCTTGATAACCTACAATTGTAGCAGCAGTAACCGATCTACAACTTTTTCCAAACACTTAATGTCTTATATAGGAGCTGCCAGCCGCCGGACGTTACTGGTATTGTTTCCATACTTGTTTTATTTGCATATGTATGACTATACTAATTTTTTTGCTATTCAGGGTAATAAACAAATGACTATAACCTCGATTCCAGTTGAAATTACAAAATATATTTCAAGCTTAACAAAACAAATTAATATTTAAGAATATCTCGTATATGTACGTAAGAAAATGAAATTAATTGATATTTCGATTTTAAATCATTACAGACGCACTGAGCTGATCAATGCTTACGTTTACAAGCAGTGTTTTTGAAAATGAAAGTAAACATAAATAATCTGAGGAAGATCATTGATAAATCAAAAACTTTTAGAGAATTAACATCAATATTAATGCATCAAAAAATTTATTTGAACCATTGGGGATTGAAAGAGTTGAGCGTTATATCACAGGTATAATGGTTGGTCATTTTAATTTAACACTTACACGTCGGCGTCGGTATTCATATTTTTCGTTGCGAGGCAGTGCTCGAATTCACGCTTTGCTTCACCTGGCGGCATGGTACTATCCCTTATTCAGACACTGTATATGCCACTGTTCGTACGCTTGGTTTGCAAGTTGTGTAAATCGTGCCGTTTTTGTCATCCTGACTAGACATTTTTTTCCAGTTAGAGAAACTATAAAGGTGGTCAGAATTTTTTTCCTTTTTAATTTTTGCCCATATAAATAATAGATAACATGGATATGAAAATAAGTGATTCGTGATGATTCTGTAAATAGAAGCAAGAAAAATACATCAACAATCAAGAATACTCTCAACTTTTTCAAACAGGATTTTGTTAATCACGCAGCGTGTTTGATTTACGCATCGACACCAGCGATACAGGCCATCTGATGCGAGATTCAAGTGTGACCCACAGTTGATACACGACGGCTGACGGGAGACTCGAGCATGACCCACCGGTGATGAACGCCAGTGCGAACATTTTTGAAGCATTATTTGATTCGTTAAACGCTTACTACTATGCATATAAATGTTGAAGAACACGTTGATTCTTCGTGGCACAACGATAAGTGTTGGTGAAAATCACAAGCGATACTTAAGTTAGTTAATGAGCTAAATTTTATGAAATCTCAAACATATTTTATAGGTTGAATATAAAGTTTCAAATTTAGCAATTTTGGAATTTTATAATACAAGCACAGTAAAAATGTTTTCATAAAGCATTAATTTTAAAATACATAATTTTTACTTGTAAGATGCATATAAATGATACATTTTTTTCCCTCGAAAAATATTCCAATGAGTATGTACAAAGCTCTTAAACAATATTTAAAACATTCCAAATGCTGTGGCAAAAGGGCACACAAACAGCGTTGCAAGAGAAAAAAGTATTACTAATATTGTAACGATGAGGAAAAGGTAATTACGCAGAATGGTTTTGAGCTCTGGCTAACGACAAAAATATTTGCTCAAGAGATGTGTCACTTATTAAACAGTCTTTTAAATCGAACTGAGTCTTCATTTCATCCATTAACCTGAACAGATTACTTAAACTGATGGTAGGATCAACGATATGATACTGAAGCATGTCCTAAAATATAAAAAGATGAGTATTATTTTACATCAGATATGATATTAATTTATTTTTAATAAGTATTCAACTCCTTTAATGCTTTAGAAACTGTCATCAATAAACTATGCTTATCAAAACATTAAGCAAAGATAATATACCATATGGTTTTCATAAATTAGAAAACATTAGAACATAAAAGAAAATGTTTTATTATTTAAAGGCATTGCAATAGATCACGAATATTATTATACTTCCTAAGTTAACAAAACAAATGCATTTTCAAGATGAAAAATTTAAAACCTAGAAGACATGGAAATCCGAATGAAGTATATAAATTACCTATTTTTACAAAACATGCAAAAGCTGGTAATTTACAAAGCAAGCAAAAAATAATACATTTGTGAGTCAGTGATTTTTATGTGTAACCATGAGGTACACCACATCTAGGTGAATGTGATCACATAAACCTCAATTCAACGAAATTAATTCACACATTTATTTTTTGATGAAGATCTCACTGTAAAAAAAAAAGGAAGCACTTCCGCAGAGACCCGGTAAATGTAAACATCGCCAACTCTGGCGATAAAAGTTCAAACCTGGTAACCCAGCGCATTTTCCTATTCGCTTGTTCGAAGTTTGCAACCATTCCTCTTGGGTTCATTTTGTTGAATTATCACTGTCGTTGTTCGCATTTCCATATTTATATTATTCTTCTCTTATTTATTATTATTTTTTCTGAATTTTTTAACAACGAATAGATAAAATATTTTCGTAGATAGATGCCGGTTCTCGGTTCGGGATGAAAGGAAGAAAATACGGCGTGAATGCTAATTTGTAACACGGCTGTTCACGTTGTGTTCCTAATTATTAACAGCTCTAAGTAAGAACCAGCAATTTAAATAACTAAGTAATGCTTTTATTTTTATTATTGGTTATTGTCATCTAAAATTATGAGAATAAACCAATTTTCTGGCGTAAAATTTTAACAAGATAATATATTGTTAATTCTTTTCTAACAATAACCTTTCAAAGGATGGCAAGTGTGACATAAATAGATCATTAAGTTGAAATAAAAAAGATTATTGATTATCTAAGATGAAAGAATAGTTTGATGCATCACCATGGTCATCAAAATTAGCAAACCACTGCTGGTGTAAGAAATATATTGTTTTCTGTGTTAACTGGAATTTAAGACAATTTTTTTTTTTATCACGTTTAACAGGTTAATTTCAGTACATTAATACTAATTTATATTTTTCAAATGAATTTTTATTTCCGTTATAAACGCTTATATATTGTCTTATACTTAATATATTCTTTTCTGTGCTAACTTGAATTTAATACAATTTTCGTATATCACGCTTAACAAGTTAGTTTTACATCTACATGCTTATTATCTGTGAATTTTTACTACCATATGCTTAATATATTGTTTTGTCTGCTAACTTGAATTTACATGCACTAAAAATCACGTTTACAAAATATCACGTTTGCGGCTCGGCTCATCGCCGATGAACCGCGAGCTTGGCGAGTAAAAATGCAACGGCGCCAACGGGTTCTTTCCCGAAGCGCCAACGGGTTCTCTGCGGATGAAAACCCCAAAAAAAGTCCTTCTTTACAGGCAAAAGTTTTGTAAAGTTACAGAAATTAAAATGTTATATGGGAATTTCCTATAACGTAAACAGACTTAAAGGAAACTGCGTCCGAGGCAAACGATTTACGAGTACACTTACGAGCAAAGACAAGGGTTTCAGTTTCGCTCGCATGAATCACGTGACTGATTGGAGAGGGGGGGGGGAGAATATCTCAACTAATTAGAAGACAACTGTTTTAATAAAATAGCAACAAAAAATGGCTGTATGATTCTTCGTCACTTTCCTGATCGGTAAGTAAATATTTTAAAGTTACTGTTTGAAATATTTTTGTTCATTTTATGTTGATTATTCTTACGCACTTTATACCGGTATATATTTTGATTAAGTATTTTAACGTTAACAACTCTAAAATGACGATAAATATTGTATTTTTGCCTTTTTTATATTTAATATTTTTGTTTATTACATTATTGATATTTTAAAGCGCATGATAACATCCATAAAGTTGCCCGTTCCTTTTTTAGAGCACATTTAATCAGTGAAATGGTCTCTCCATGAATGTATTTTAGTTACACATCTGGCGACGGTTTCCTTTGTTTCGGATGACATTATTTATTGTGTCTTAACATATTTTGATTCCAAGATTCCCACATGGTTTTTGTGGTAAAAAATAACAGTATTTAATTTGAAAGTGCAAAAACTAAGCCTGCTATCTTAAACTTATTTACAGGATCTGTTTATTTTCAGCTTATAAAAATTTATTTCAGCAGATGATAATTTATTTCTCAGTTTAAAAGCTGGTGTCAGCTGTTCCCTGTGAAGTAATAATTAATAACATTCGGTTAAAATTACTTTTAAAACATAAAAATGTTATAAAAAGAATTATTAATGTAAGTCAATAATGTCGATATAATATATAAAAAGTTACAAAAAACGTTCAACGAATAAATTACTTGATTAATCTTACTTGATGCTCCGTTTTTAGTTGTGCTCCTGGCAAGTTGCAAATTACAAATGCTTTTATTCGCCCCATAGTTTGGAAATCTTCACGGGCTTCCCTTTTTGTCTTGATTGTAAGAGTATATCCTTTACCATACTTTGATTTTAATTGCTCAACAGAACCAAAGCATCGAAAGCGACCATTCACCATTATTCCAAGCCTATCACATAAGGTTTCGCATTCTTTCATGCTACAAGGAAATTATATGAATTAAAATAAAATAAACAAATAGTGCAACTTAATACAATTAACAAAATAAGTTTGAGCTGCCGCACATCACTTGTGCATTCATTATACATGGACTTATTTCTCCCAAGACCTTATTCGAAAATTTTGAGAATTTGCGACAATATGAAAAACTAACAAACGAACCGCATAGCCTGAAAATATTTAAAAGCAAGTTTAATAAATATAAGAAATACGAAAATGTTCCGATTTTAATGGCGAATCAAAGCGACTCTTTGAAAGTTTAATATGATTAATCAGTAGATATAACCTAGGTGCAATAGCGGAACATTTTATAGACTGCTACATGAATATGCATGTAGAACTAGCATGGAAAAGCTACATGAATATGCATGTAGAACTAGCATGGAAAAGCTACATATCTTCTGTATATACAAAATGAATATATATATATATAATGTAATTCTACAAAGATATTTATGGTTATTAATTGTATATATCATGAATTAAATTCATTTTTATTTAAATCAATAAGATTAAAATATAAAACAAAACACAAAGAAAAGTTTTCCACATTAAAAAAAGCTTTTATTTAAAATAGGTAATGCGCTAAAAGGATAAAAATAATTTATCATATATTTTAATGGGACTAATATATTCAATAATACTATTTTCAAAATTAATCTACAATTTTAAATCGCGAATAATAAAACAGTGCTCGTTCGTGACAAATTTAAAAGTTATACATTTGACAATGCTATTAAATTAATAGATTTTGTTATTTAGTTTGTTCATATGCATAACTTTTGTTCATATGCTTAGTCTAATTATTATCTTAGTTATTTACCTGCAATTATTTGTATTATGATTATTTTGTATGTTGTAGTTTTTATAGCAAAAATACAAAAGGGTCGATGAAGAAAATCATTCCTTTAAAAGGGGCCCATACCAATATGGGGCTAGGAATTCCTGATCAATATATTTTGTATTTTCAACTTATCCACAATTTAAGTAAATTAATTCGACCATTAATATAGATGCAATAGCGAAACATTTTATAGACTGCTACATGTATATGCATTTAGACTAACATGGAAAAGTTACATACCTTCTGTGTATTATAAAAAATAGAAATATATATATATAATGTAATTCTACAGATATATTTATTATATAATTCATTCGAAATTTTAATAATTCGAAATTTATTATAGAATTCATTCTCTCTAAAGACCTATTCTAATTTAATTTTACTGATTAAAATCCAATCTAGTACAACAGTAGGCCTAAATAAGCCACAGCATGAATTAATAAATAAATATTTAATAAGAAACCAATGATTACATTCTTTTAACTGTTCCTGTAATTTTAGGTTTAGTTTATGCAAACTGAAAGTTGGTGTTCGGTTCTGCATTTCAGCGGCGTCTGTTTTATTCGGGTATTTTATTTTGCGACCTGTACAGGCAGAAGAAGCTGCTTCCCAAAATTATACAGTTGAGAAAGTCAGAAATACTGATTTTGCTTTCTTTGACAAGATTTTGAATTCCTCTTGTAAAGGTAGCCAAGAACTTGGGTTTTTATTTTTAGTTCGTTGAAACGTATCTAAAGTATGAGAATCTCATATTCTGAAAAGTATGAGATGGTGGGTTTCCTCTCCAAGCTGAACGCATTCAGTGCCCATTTTAAGTCATCACCCACTTAAGGGGAAATAATGTATTGTTCATAGACGATTCTTCCAAAGCTTCGAGATATACGTTAATATTTTTTTGTGTTTTGTCTTGAATGCCTGGCTTCATCCAAGACTCCTTTTGTAAGAGAGCAGCAATCTATGTCTTCTTTTTGTTTTTTTCGTTTTAAGGAATTCAATAAATACACCTGCGTTCTTTAGGGGAAAAAACACTTCAGTTTTGCACCAAAATGTGTTTCACTCTTCTCTATGCAATGATCGATTCATTTCTTTCACATGTCCATCTGTCTGCGGCTTAATCTAATCTTAACTACTAAATAAAGTACAATTTCCGTAGGTGTTACTTGAAGTTCTTGGGTGAATTTTCAGCACTAACTTAATTAAGCTCTGCAAGCAAACAGATACAGATATAACTTTGAGTTTAAATTCATTCTAAATGACCACTTATGAGGGTTAAATTAAAAATAGTGCAATACAAAATTACCAGTAACATAGACCTGTGAACAGAATATACCTAGCTATGAATACAAAACTTGCTTAAAACGTTTTGTAAGCGCAACATTTAATTAACTTCTAATACAGGATACAAGTTCAAGAGCAACTACTAACAGCTGAACTTACCAACCAAGTCAAAACTGAGATTTTAGTTTTACGAAGGCAATGGCTATTCACCAAATGGCAAACAGTAGGCAGTCAACGTTGCTGCAAACTTTCGTATATGGTTACAAGCTATATATATACAACTTTGTACTAATGTTATGTCATGGAGCAAAAACTATTTTACTTTACACCTGACTGCCACTGGCTCCGACATAGCAATGTGAATACTCTACATCTAAAATTTTAAAACAACATTCCAGAAATTTAAATGTTTATTTAATAGAATTATATTCATATTTTTGCAAGTTATACACTATAAATACAATAAACAAAATTTGAACTTATCTGCACCAGCGTGAATAAGCCTGGCATATTATTCTGAACTCGACGCAACTTTAGGAGGAAAAAATACCGCAAATTCAAACACAAGGTTTCATTTTTTCCAATGCAGCTAATTTTCTAAATATATTTTACTAATATGCGCAGCGGGACAGCGGATTCATTTCATTCACCCAAAACTCAAATGTTTTAACGCAATAGTATCGTAAAGGAAACATCGACTAAAATCAAAATATTAAAATCTATAGAAATCATCCGCTGTTGATATTCCAGCACTGCCAAGTTTTTCTTCCTGCAGCTGTTGCCAGACTTATCCTAGCTGTATGTGAGAGGTACAACAACTAAGTTACTTGATACTCAAATCTGCATAAACTCTAGAATGAGCCACTTTCGCGACGAAATCAGGCAGTAGGAAAAATGTAAATTTAAAAATAACTTTGTTAGTGAAACTCAAACATACATTTTGCTAAAAATATCAGCTAAAATACTCTACTACAGTTTTCACCATTTATAACCGTCACTAGGAGAGCATGATGGCCTATCAAAAATACTCGAGACCACCACCTTACTTCAATGTGTAGCAGAAGGAACTAATAGTGGTTTCCCATATCTTCACACATTAGTTTGAAGAACATATTCTAGACGGAATTTTATGTGATTTTTAATGATGAAATTTAAGGTATAGGCTCAGGAAGCAATTTTCTGAAATCTAGCGTCTGCCTATGAAGGACGCTACATTTCTTTGTCTTATATTTAGTTTTTAGAACATCTAGAGCACAGCCACCCATCATTACATATATCTGCAGTTTTCCGAAGGTTTTCATTTGATCAAATAATTTACTTCAGATTAGGTATTTCATCTCTTGATGTGTTGGTTGATAGTGGCCTCCAAAAAAGCTCTGCTTTGTAAGTGTAAACTAATTACCTTACAATACAAATGAAACCACCAACACAGTGACATTAGCGTATTTATAATCCGAATTTTGTATACCTAATGCGACTGATAAATGTCTTTTTCGCGTCGTTAGCCATATCTAATTTGTCTAGAAAGGCTGTTATCTAACAGAAGGGAGTTAAAGGATAACATAGAGCTTTTTCATCAAGCAAACATTTGATATTATAGATTATAAAAAGCTTAATAAGCGTGAAATGGCTGCACCGATTCGAGATGCACATTAACGGATGATGCAGGAATCTTCCTTACTTTTTTAATTGCTGTACTTCCTCTTGAAAACATTATAAGGCCTTTCCTCCTTCCTTCCAGCATGCCTTTGTGGTGTAACAGGAGCACATTCGACGCATAATCGAGAGGCCCAGGTTCGAATCCAGGCGAGGAAATTGCTCATTTTTCATGTCTCTTGCTTCAAAAGAAACCTTATGACTCTACAGTGGCGCCCGAATTAAAAGGTGATGGACACCTTTTAATTCGACACCACCAAGACTTTGGCGAATAAGTCTCCTAATCCCCCAGTTGCCATTTAAAAGGGGAAGTATATATGGTATTTTCTCCCTCCTTCTAGCATGTCTTCGTGGTGTAACTGTAGCACAATCGGTGCATAATCTAGAGGTACAGGTTCGAATTCCAGCTAATTCAATGCTCATTTTCATGTCTCCTGCTTCAGAAAAACCTAATGACTCTCCAACAGAAGATGGTTTAGCTTTCAATTCGAGATGATTCCTCTCGAATTGCATCGCACTTTAGTAGAAACCATGAAATTTTTGGTCAAAAATAAATTTACATTACAGTCTAAGAATCATTTGTTTCTGTAAATACCATACAATATCAAATTTATCAATAATTTCGCGTTTTATTGAAAGACATTTTCCTTGCTATCATATCTCTATCGCGATTTGAAAATGATTGAAGGAACACTGCAGACTCAGTTTTTTTTTCGAAAAGCTGATCTGACATACAAGGTAAAGCAATGAAATTAAATAAATAAAAAACATCCACGTTAGCCGCCTAAGCGGGATAGTGGTTAGCGATGCTGACTGCCTTGCCGAAGGGCCCGGGGTGGAATCCCGGATAAGGCATGAATTTTTGTAAATGTATAGAGTCTGTGCGGCATAGGGGCACTCTAAATAAATGGCGATCCGAAAGTCCTCTCGAGAACTTGGTAGAGCAAGAGGGGTGGGAGACCCTCGGTTGCTCCCCATCATAATTGAGAGCGGAACTGAGCAAAGTCGTACCTGTATGGTGCTCAAGGCTCTTGCCAACGACAAGGTTCAGAGAAGGCTTCACAAATATGCCGTTCTGAAAAATCGCTCATTCATTCAGATCTAATTAAGGCCATTAAAACACGACACGCTACAAAACGCGCGTGACAGCCAGACAGGCCGCTCTATCTCGCGCTATTATAATTATCGACCAAGCGTCA